TGTTGTTTAAACCCTACATTGTAAATTACTGCCCTTCTACAGGAACAGCAATGTTCCCATTGCAGGGGTTAAATGCCTCTAATAGCTGTCACTCTGAGTTAAACTCTGTACATGGCCAACTGATTGGCGCAGTGTTTTGTTTTGCCACGCATGCTGATTACTCTCCCAAGGCTCTCTCTTAGAAAGCATTGGATTGGCAGAGGTCACCAGTTACCTAATTAGTTAGAAGGACATAGCGTTAGAATTACACCTGTGTATTCCTTTAACTCTGTTCGTATGATGAATTATCAACGTTTCTGAACAAAGTGATGTCTTTTGTCTAATTAATGTTTTTTTCTCTTTTCTTTATAGATTTATTACTGGCCTTCGCTGGTTCCCTGTCTTTTTGGGTATGTTTGTGTACTGTATCTATTTGGGTATGTTCCTTTGTAGCAATTAACATGTTACTGTGTTTCTTCGGCCACAGCTATTTGACAGTGCTGCTTGTTGTATTGATAACACGAGAAACTTCAGTTTGTGATTTGTGTAAAACCTGCAGAATATTTCTTCTAACATGGACACGTTTGTAATTAAGAAGTAGTACGTTGTAACCACAGTTTAGTTCTAGTTATGTGTAAACTGACTTGTAATGACAGTTGTTTTTCTCTTTCTTATTATGGCTATTTATTTAGGTTTCTTTGTTTTTATTGTTTTACAAATGTTCTTGTATATATGGGGTTAGTACACAAATATGACTATATAACTCCACCTTTGGACATGTATATCAGTCAGTTATGTCCAACTGATTGGTTATTTATGTGCATGCATTGACTCACGCTTGACAAAGATGCCTCATTTTGGTCGAAAACATTGCTGAGCCTATACGTAGTGGTGTACCTACGACGGTCGCAAGGTCGCCAGGTGACCGGGAGTAAGAGAGAGCACAGCACAGTTTTCCCTTTCTGACGGTCACAGTTTGTAGTGTGGCCAAGCAGACCACAGGGTCTCTGTTTCCCTCTACCCAGTCTAACAGGAAGTGCTCACTGAGAGGTTAGGCACTACGGTTCACTCGGCCACGCTACATTTACGAGAGCAGGTACAGAGAGGAATGGGGGAGAGATACTTTGAAGGGACAAATGGGGGAAATGACACATGGAAGGGACAAGGAGGGGGGAGATTGACACATGGACGGGACGGGGGGGGAGGGTTGACACATGGAAGTGACTGGGGTGGGAATTGACACATGGAAGGGATTTGTTGAGTAACTGAGAATCATGGAGGGGCTGAAGGTGGTGATTGAGATACATGATGGAGGGGTTGGGGGAGAATGAGACCTGGAAGGGGTGACTGACATGAGGAAAGTAATGTAGGAGGAGGAAATTGACAAATGGAAGGGACTTGGGTGGGGGATTGACACATGGAGGGTCTGTGGGGGAGGGAATTGACACATGGAAGGGACTGGGGGGAATTGAGGGGTTAGGGGGAAATTGAGACACATTGAATGGGGGGATAAAACCCATGAAGGACCTGGGGGTGTGTGGAGGGAATTAAATTCTTTTATATTCAATATATCCACTATTTACTATTAGAACAAATTCCTTTCTTTTCTTGAAAGAAAATGTGGGGGAATTGTTAATTTAAAAATAATTATAAAGTGTTTCTGCTATTTTAAGAAATCAATAGAAAAAAAAATAGAACTAAATCTAAACAAGAGACCTGGAAGAAAGTGGAAATACGGTTTAAAAAAGACAGACTTTGAAATACAAAATTAATCAAAACTAAAAGGTGGAAAAATAGACTGGAGGAGAGACGAGAAAAGCTTACAAATTTTCCCCTTGGGGTAAGTTGAGTAAGCTGACATGTTTCATAGATGTTCCAGCGCAACGCACCACCTCGACCTTTTTTATAATTTAGTACTTTACTGCAGTGTAACCTATTTTAAGGAATATAATCACGTGATTGATGCCAAAATACAACAGTGTGTTTTTTTTTTTTTTTATTTGGTTAAAATTTGTTATATGCAAAATAAACGCATTTAATGAGACGTACCAATCTTTTCTTTTTCTTGTATCCAGTGCCCAGAATATACATGACTGTGGCGATGTAGATCAGTTTACCCATATATATTACTAGCCTATTATACATAGGATTCTCGTAACCTTTCTATTTTACACACTTGGGCATTAATGAAACAATCTGCCTTTATCCTGGATATACACCGATCAGCCACAACATTAAAACCGCCTGCCTAATATTGTGTAGATCATGGGTAGTCAACCTACCGCCCACTAATGCATCTTTCTTGATGGTAAAATTTCCGTACCGCCCACCAGTGCTGCAGTAACTCGAACTTTTTAGCGCAAGTGTCTTCACATACTCTGGTCTTTTTCTTCAGACGTGGGTTCTAAATTTGTTGCAAAATTTAACAACTACTTTTACTCTTACCACGTTTGATCTGCACTCCACACAGTGCTTTCCTTCCCCCCCACCCCCAATCTTTTCCGTTTTATTACAAACACCCAAAACAACGCTGTATTAGGTGCCAATTTTTATTACGCGTCACCATAAAAAGAAGTTCCCCTTTTTTTTTCTCTACTTTT